ACGCTTCTTGAGAGAAGATTTCCTAAAAAGGAAATTTTCAAAAAATCAGCGGTGAACGGGTGAGAGTTTTTTTTTTTATTAGTAAAATATTTTTACTTTTAATCAAATGAATAAAACTTTAAATATTTTATTGCTAAAATATTTAAAGATTTTAAAAAAGAAAAGATAAACAAGTAAAAATGTTTTTTTCTTTTAGAAATAAATATTATTAAAGAAAGTATTTAGATTTGATTATTGGAAAATGTGACAAATATCTAATTGAAAAAAAAATTATCAGAAAAAGATTTTTTTTGTTTTATATATTGTTGGGGGTTATAACAGCGAGTCTGTCGCTACGTTGCGATCACTGATTATGTAACGTCGAAAGAGGCATGAAGATGTGGCACGAGATAAGTGAAAGTGTTAGATAATAGTCTGAGTTTTATAGTAAAAAGACGGTATTTTATTGTTGCTTTTTCTCTAGTACATTCCTCTCTTTATATACATGTTGTAAAAGAAACTGAAAAATTAGATAGATTCAACATATGTTATCCTCACCCAATTGGAGTTTAATTGGGGCTTGAGGAATTTTAGGGATTTTAGGGATTTTAGAGATTTTTGGGATTTTTGGAATTTCTTAACATATATATAAAGAGAGGAATGTACTAGAAAAAAAGCAACAATAAAATACTGTCCTTTTACTATAAAACTCAGATTATTATCTAACACTTTCACTTACCTCGTGCCACATCTCCATGCCTCTTTCGACTTTACACGATCAGCGATTCCGACATAGCAACAGATCCACTGTTATAACTTCCAACAATTTGATAGTGACTGTGAGATTCAAATTAACTGCAACAGAGCATTACTCCCAATATTTTTTGTGAACAACAAACCTAAAGAAAGAAAAAGAAAATTGCCAGTAAGTACAAAAGAATCACAATTATGGATAAAGAACAGTTCCAACCACTCCTGAAAGAAATAACTCGGCTGCTAGGACATACCGTGGAAGAAAAACCTGGGGCTCAGGAGACGAATTATGTGAAGATTAGAACCTTCGCCAGTAGAGAAGATAACGACCCAATCGAATGGATGGAAGAATTCGAGAGGGTGACAAATGCGAACAATTGGACCGACAAATGAAAACTTCAGATTGTGCCCAGATACCTGAGTGGATTAGTCGCAGACTGGTATAGAGAGCAGAGAGGTAACATTAGAGAATGGAGGGATGAGGAACGAAATGACGAAAGTTTCCATCAACTGTTGATTGAGTACTTCGCAACTCCAGAGAAACAGCATCGATGGCAGAAAGAGCTTAATGAACTAGTGCAGGAAGAAAACAAGAGAGTAGACTCATAAGCTACGAAATTCAAAAAGTTACTGACACGTGTCGATCCCGAGGAAGGATTACTGCTTAATTACGTAATACGGATGTTTTTGAGTGGGTTAAAAGGGAACACAGCAACGTTTGTTGCTGTAACATTACCAGACACATTACAAGAAGCAATCTCCACAGTGAGACAAGTAGAAGCCGGCGAATACTACAGGAGGCAAACACCTGGAAAACAATAGCACAAAAAACTAGAGAATGAACTGAGTAACATCACAAAAAGAATACAAAAAATCACCTTGAATTACACAGCGACAAGACCAACTGCTGATAGCGGAGACTGACAGTCCACTACTAGACCGAGAAGGAACGACAAATGCTTCCAATGTGGGAAGTATGGACATATCGCCAGATATTGCGATAAAAGACCAGCGGATAATCAAGAACACCTAAGACGACCAAGGAATGTTAAACATTATGAAATAGAAGGGAATGATGACTACGAAATCAAAGAATATTACGAGGTGTATAATACCAACGTAACCCGAAAAGTAGAAAGACCACCCAAGAGGAGAATAGAATACTCAAACGATAGTGAACAAAGAGCCAGAAAAAAACCAGACAGGGTACCACCAACAGAAGTAGAGATCTATAAAGACAAAGCGATGGACTTAGACTTGGAAGAAATTCCTAAGCTTCGCAGGAAAAGAAAACCATCTGTAGTAGATTCACTAACGTTATACAACATAGCCGACGACGTCCTCGCCCTAAAATCGAACATTACGTTGGGACAGCTGCTACAATACCCAAACTAGTGCAAGTACCTAGCCAAAATATTGAGGAGACTGGTACAACAACCTCAAGAAATTAACTATGTTATATACAACCCAGGGGAACAAACAACAGCCTCCCGATGCTATGCCCAAATTAACCAGCAACCTGTGATAGCTATTTTGGATACTGGTGCGGCCGTCAGTCTAATATCAAAGAAGCTGCTAGATAAGTTGAACCTTCAGACCAATGAAAAATCAAATACGGTAGTCGTCACTGTGACAGGAGCCCGGGAGAAAACACTGGGAAAAGTCAAGAATATAGAGGTTTCGATCCTGAAAGTAGAGATCCCTATTAACCTACAGGTTGTAGAATCAAGGGACGAAATGCTACTACTAAGAACAGATTGGTTCCAGAAATCTAAGGCCAGAATGCACTTCGATGAAAAGAAGCTATATTTACGATACGCAGGAGAAGCTATAGAAGTGCTGATTTTCCACCATGGTACGGAGTCCCTCTTGGAACCCGAGAGTGATCAGGAAAGCGTAGAGACTGACTTATTTGACGAATTCGAATACGAGGAAGAAAAAATAGATGAAAGAGATGGTTACTATACTGGCGACGTGCTTTTGGACAAAGAACTATACAAGAACCCTTGGGAAGAAATGGAAAGTCCGGCAATATACCTTACTAACATGGAGGAGGTCCCTACACTAGAAGGGAAAAAAGAATCTGAATTGACCACGAAGGAACGAATCGAAAGTCTAATAGAAAAAAATACCGAGCTCGGAGAAGAGGACAAAGGCAACGTACGGGAGCTATTCAAGAATGAAGAAGACCTTTTTATCGAAGGCCTTGAAGAGTTAGGACGAACAAGTGTCATTCAGCACACAATTTACATCAGAGACGCCAAACCGATCAAACAGAACGCGTATAGAATATCTCCAGATGAGAACGAATATGTGAAAAATGAACTGAAGCAAATGGAAGAACAGGACCTGATCCAAGCATCCGTTAGCCCATGGGCTTCCCCATCATCATAGTCCCAAAGAAAAATGAAAAAAGACACCTATGCGTCAATTATCGAAAACTAAATATGGTAACAAAATGAGATGTTTACCCTCTTTTAAGAATTGACAACCTGTTGAAAACTTTTGGAAATGCCAAAATATTCTCTAACTTGGACTTAGCCAGTGGTTATTGGCAAGTGGCCATGAAACAGGAAAACCAAGAAAAAACAGCATTCGTCATTAAATTCAGAATGTAGGAATTTAGGGTAATGCCGTTCGGATTGTGCAATATTCCGGCAACATTCCAACGACTGATGAATACGATCCTACATGAACACATCGGAAATTTTGTAGCAGTATATCTTGACGACATCATCATTTACTCACAGACCGTGAATGAACATGTTGAACACCTGAAGCAAATATTTGAGAAGTTGCGAAGTGCCAATCTAAGGCTCAATCTAGAAAAATGCTATTTCTTCCTACCAATGATCACCTTTCTAGGGCACATAGTAGGAAAGGAAGGAATTAGGACTGACTAAAGATGTGTCCCGAAATTCATATATTATGTCCTATAATTAAAATTTTTATAACCGAAATTGAATTATGTCCTTCTAAGAATTTA